CCCGCCCCCCCCCCCCCCCCCCCCCCCCCCCCCCCCCCCCGCATCAGTCTATCCACACATCCATCTATTCAGGCGTCCATCTCTCCAGAATCCGTCCATGCATCCCTGCGCAATCTATCATTTTCGCTGTTCCGAAGGAGGGAGCCAAAAACCAACTTAGCCTTGGCTGGGCAGCGGGTACCCAGAGCTCGCCAGACGGAGGCTGGGAGATACTCACACACCTGCCGGCAGACACCGTTTGGGAGGAAAGGGGCGCTCTCCTACCCTCTCGATCCCTTTCTCCTAACTGGCTTCTGGTGCCATCTCGGTCGCTGCGGTCCCTCGGTCCCCAGGGTCATTCCTTTTAGTAGAATCATAGATCTCGATTTCTCGTGACTACTTCGTACACTTGTTAGGATGTCCCCCAAGACCTCTCTGCCACCGGACGTAAAGGAGATTTTCTTTTCTTTTTCTCTTTTTTTTTCCTCCTCTCGTTTCTTGCCTTTTCTTTTGGAAGGAAAACTTGGGAGCGCTAGACAAAAAACAGTGTTGATGGAGCTGTAGGCTGATGTAGAACGAAGGGGGGGTGTCTCCCCCCCTCCTGCCCCTCCTCCCCCCTAAAAATTAATTCATTTTGTTGCTTTTTATTCCCATCACGTTTCCTTTTCTCCCTTTTACCCTCCCTTTCTACTCCCTCCCTTTTTTTGTAAATTGGGTCTTATTGTTCCCTTTGTGTCCCTAATCCACCTTACATAAATCCAAATGGATGTAGCAGGCTTTTCTCTAGGGACCAAGAAGAGGGAATTTGGGGAGGGGGGTGCAACCCAGGCGGGAGCGACCTAGGGAAGGCTCTACATTTTAAAATAATTAAGAGACCCTAGGAATTCAGGCTTCTAGGGAAAATCAGGAGAGAGCAGCTGTTTTTAACTCCTTCGACTTGGGGATGAAATGAGGGAAGGTGGGCAGAATTCAGGGGCCTAGTGGTGAGATGGAGAATCGGAGTGCCCAGGAGCAAGGATGAGGGCTCCCCATTCCCACCCCTCCCCCCAGCCTAAAGAACCAGTCTCACTGATCAAATTAATAACCCAGTGGTTCCTTTGAGATGGGCCTTTCGACCCCCAGGCCTGCGGATCTCGGTGGGAAAGGGGATGTGGAGAGGTTAAGAATCCATTGTGTACTTTTCAGTGTCCTCGGTGCCTAGGACCATTCCAGCCTGGTGGGGGACATCAGCTCTTCTCTGAGCTTTGACATGCATGCTTGGGTGCAAGACAAACACTAAATCTGTTAGGCAGCACTCCTTCACCTAAAATTCAAACCAGTGATTTCCTCTTAGGCCGAGGATGAGACCCTGGCTGTCCTCTACAAGACCTGGGGAGGAGAATAGTCCAGTGTGTTGGCATTCTAAATTCTACAGGTCTGCCATTACCCCTTTCTGAAACTTGGATATTAAAACAAAACAAAACAAAACAAAACAAAAAACCGTGAATACCCCATCCAGGGCCTCTTTATTTGGTGGGGCAGGGAAAAAAGAAATTGTAGAGGAGAGAGCCTTTTCATGACCCTTTGAGTACTTTCTGTTAGAATTCACTTGTGGTTCTGTCACCATGATGATGAGTTATGTGGTCATCTGAAACTTCCAAAAACAAATAACTGTAGTAGATACCAGACAGAGATGAATGCTGGTTTTGCTCTGGAGTGTAGCTGCCCTACATAGATATATTTATTTTTTGAATTGCACTTGAGATTCTCTATTCATCCTTTTTCGAAAATGAATCAGCTCAGTCCTGGGATGGAATTTTAAATGCTAAGCAAGTTAAATAAATAAGAACGTGCAGATTTAAAGAGGGGAGAAGATCAAGTAAGTAATGATTATTTACATAAGTGAGACCGAGTTTAGGTTTTGATCAGAGTTGGATACGCACACCCCCAGCACATATGGAAACGCTCAGGCAAATGGTTTTTGTAGTATTGGCTTTTTTGCAATTGGAAATTAATCCATTCTTCTTTGTTTTCTTGCAGTTACCCTATTGGATTCCAGATCTGTTCAGGGAGAACTTGGGTGGATAGCAAGCCCTCTGGAAGGAGGGGTAAGTTCCGAGTTGCTCTCTGATCCAAAGGGTAAAAAGGAGTGATTAGCAACTTTCTGAGAGTCCTAATGGCTTGATTCTTGTTGATTGTGGTGAAGGGGTCAGATTTCCGCCATGGCCTGTGAAGTGAATTACGCTTTGTTGGAGAAATCCTATACTCCCTTTGGATAACTCTGTCATGGAAGAACTAGAAACCAAAAGGGCAGAAAGGGGTTTCAAAATTAGGAGATTGGTGGAGGCATAGACTTAGATGCATATTTAAAACTAAAATACCGACAAGAAATACGATCCAGGGACCAAATTAGAATTTGTGCCTATTAACTGTGATGGCCGTGAAGACCCGACAGGGTTAATTTTAGAGCAATTGTTCTGTTTCCAGATGAGGAAAACGAATGAATAAAGATACCAGGGGAGAGAACATGTCTGATTGTACCAGGCACAAGTTTAGTTCCGTGCATAGGCAAAGGGGGGTGGGGGGGCGGGCATCCTTACCTCTGAAACCTTACATCAGCTGCAGCTCTTTGGGCACTGAGAGGAAACCCCTTGAACTTGGGCAAGGGGCACAAGAGATACACAGGAAAAACCCCAAGCTGTTGTGCTGTTGGTGCTAAATGTAAAAAAGTTTAAGTATTTGGAATCTTGAGTCTCTGGGGAAGGGGAAGCTAGAATAGAATAGAAAGGATGAGAGCCCGTCTCACTGTTCCTTCGTTCTGCAATGTGCCATCGTTGCCTCCTCCTGAAGATTTCAGAGAATACAGGTCAGTGGCCACATTCTCCCTTTACCCTACATAACAGTTCAGAATGAGTCAGCTTTGGGAAAAAAATCAGAATAGCATGTTAACTCAGACTTCTGCCAAATTTAAGGAACTCTCAGATCCTTTAAAAATCAAGATCATTCTGCCCTTATGTGCTTGAGAATCCAGGACTGAATCAGTGGGTTAAGAGCAATAGAAGTGAGAGACAAGTGGTCTTTAGCAGGGGAAAATGGAAATAACCAGCCCCCCAGTATGGTGCTTCCCACCTGTCCCCTGAACTAACTGGAAGGGATCAAAACAGTAAAGATGCACAGAAATTGTTATAAAAGAGGAAGGGTTTTTTAAAAAGGCAAGAAAGTTGTGAAATGAGAGATGAATGAAAATGGAGAATGTTGTTAGGCTGTCTTTTTCCAAAACAGGTCTTGGGATCTGTGTGAAATAAAATGGAGATTTGCCTTGCCTTCTTGTTTTTCTGCCTGAACTTGACTGCAGTTCCTTGGATCTCTGCTGAAAAATTCTAGTCGGCCCTCAAAACCATTTTTTAAAGGGAGGGAGAGTGATTGGCAGGCCTCTGGCAGTGTAGACAGGCCTTATTCAATGCTGATTGCAGGCAATTGCCCTCGTCCTTTGAATGCGAAGAAAGGTACAGCTTTATCTTGTGAGAGTCAGACTCTTGTTAATCCTATACCCTGGAAAGGTCACTGGTTCGGGGAGGCTTTCCCAGGCTACACCAGGAGTAAAAGCTCTGCAGGTTCAATGTACTAGAACAGCTAGCAAAATTGAAGATGGGAGGTATCAGTACTTCTAAAAATTTAATGAGTCTTATTTTTCTTACTGGCTGCACTCAAGTTTGAAGGGAGAATGCATCCAGTATGATGTGGGACCTGACCTGTTACACTAAATATACATGTGACCTGTTTAAAAGCAAGGAATGACACATTTTTGAGTACAGTCTATGGTCTGTCTGGTTTGTGGAAAGCTTTTACTGCAACTTAATATTCTGTAGACATCCCATATCCCGCACCCACCCCCAAACTGCCAAAAGAACACCTGCTCGCTTTTTCTAAACAAAAACTTCTTTCGTCTTGAGGTCTCTTAAGATAATACCATGCATATATAGCTGAATTGTGTCCAACCCAGAACTTTTCCATGAGCTGAATGTAGACTTCTGAATGTAGAGTGTTAGCATTTTTCTTTCCTTAAATGTGATGGGTGTAACATTTTAGGGACTCGTGGGTGGGTGAGAAATGAAATTTTATTTATGTACAATAGAATTAGTCATTCCAAAATACACAGTAGCCATTGAGAAATTATGTGCCAGATTACAAAGTTTCATTAACCTCTTGATTTTGTCATTAAAGGAGACTATCTCAGGCTTAGAATGAAGGGATGAATTAGGTTATCTACCAGATATGGATGGATTCACTTTAAAAAGTTCTTTCCGGTTGAAGATAAAAGCATATTTGTGTCTTTTGGTTATTCTGAAATTTCTTCTTATAGTTAGGACAGTTCATATCTTTCTTGGCTGGAAACTTGGGGTCATGGTTTTGTCAATAAATAATGACATTTATTATTGTTATTTTTAAAGAGAAACAAAATTTACTTGACAGTACCACAAGTAAAATATGAAATATAGTCAGAGACAACTCACTGTTCTCTGTTTTTCTCTAAGAACAACTGAGGAGAACATAAAAATAATAGAAAGTAATGGCTCCTGATGGCAACATTATAGCGAAACCTAATTCCTTGGCAGTGTTCATTTAAAGGAGCATATTGAATTTCTGACATTGATTGTAAAATACAAAAACTAAGGTGAGATTTGTCATTGTTCTGGCGAATTGATCCATGTGTTTAGACAATTAAGTTTAGACTGGAAAATTCACATTAGATCAAACTCTCCTGTATGAACTCTGTGGAGATATCCCTGTGTGCTTTCATTTACATTGATAAATGTGTTTTTCCATATTCCCTTTGTTCTGAGATGAGAAGCATGCTGAGTAGGGTTTTTTTGGAAGGTGAAGATCTATTTTTGGGTTTACATGAATTTCCCCCAAATAAGTAAATTACTGGTGATTTATTGCTTAGTGCATAAAAAGAAATTTTAATCACCACAGGGCACTTGTTCCTCCCAGTTCCAACTTTCATAATGGTATCAGATGAAAGGGATACAGAGTTTTATGCAGTATAGTCCTTCACACAGTAACATTTCCATCCATTAATAGTTTTCCAATGCACAGATGGAAAACCCGTTAAAAGATACATTATGGTTCTACGTACTTCATTGGATTGAATGGAGCTTTAAGTGGAGCTATTATAGAATATGAATTTTTTTAAACTATCTTTTTTCTTCTAATTATATTCATGTGTTAGATACTTAAGCTGATTTATACCAGATCTATATAAATGCATTACTGTAGATACTTGTGAAGAATTGGAGGCTGCTTACTGGACCTATAGGAGCCCCCCAAAAATCTTGCTGCTTTTAGGATTATTTTTTAAAAAGCTGTGGCAAGAGGTGAGTTTTTACTACTCTAGTCACAGTGAGTTTGGGATTGTCCCACCCTTAGTAAATCTTTATGTTACGAAATAGATCACAAAGGAAGCCCTACCACCCTCCTCTAGTTTTCTTGGGCTTTCAATCATAAATACCCCCTACGATTTTATTTTAATATCCACAGAATATTTAGAAGCAAAGCATGTGTGCATTCTTGTTTACTTACGGGTATATGTTTTAAAAATAAGGATACACAGACTTTTTAAATTAAATACGTTGGTCTGGGAAAGTGTTTCATTGTTAACAAATGACAGTGGATTTGAGAAATCCAACCATAAAGTTTACTCTCTGTTTTCTCAGGATTACCAAAACCAGAAGAGTGAGATTTTCCTTACCCCTTTAAAGAATAATGACAGTGCCAAAAAAAAAAAAAAAAATTTTTTTTTGACTGACTTTTTTTAGGTATTAGAGAGCAAAGTTCTGACAGGAGCACCACTAATTAATGGATAATTGTCTTCCTTTGGCAAGCTTCTTTCTTCCTGCTCTTAATTTGCAGGTCTCTGCTCAGTTGTTGAAACAATACATATACTAGTTTTTCATTTATGAGTAAATTTGAACTGTTGCCACCTGAAATTGTAGCTGTTGTAATAGGTGAATCTGAGGTTGTTAGACCACCACAAGGACCTGCTGGGAACTCATAAGCAAAAGATCTCCCCAGGCCTCTGGATTGTAGGCAAAAGAATGAAACCACCACCAAAAAAACAAAACCAAAAAAGACCACATCCCCAATAAAATGCTGTCTTATCTCCCATAAGGTGTTTTGTTAGTGAGGGTTGGTTCTCAGTAGTTTTCTTCCTCCCTGAAACAAAAATCGTCACTGTCCTATGAGGGGAAAATAAAATGGACAAATCACCGCAGGGGGACATTCTGTAATTGACACATTCCCTTTGGATCTTTGCAGTGGGAGGAAGTGAGTATAATGGATGAGAAAAACACACCAATCCGAACCTACCAAGTGTGCAACGTGATGGAACCCAGCCAAAACAACTGGCTGCGAACTGACTGGATCCCCCGAGAGGGGGCCCAGAGGGTGTACATTGAGATCAAGTTCACCTTGAGAGACTGCAACAGTCTTCCGGGTGTCATGGGGACTTGCAAGGAGACGTTCAATCTCTACTACTACGAATCAGACAATGACAAAGAGCGTTTCATCCGAGAGAGCCAGTTTGCCAAGATCGACACCATTGCGGCCGACGAGAGCTTCACCCAAGTGGACATTGGTGACAGAATCATGAAGCTGAACACCGAGATCCGGGATGTAGGGCCACTGAGCAAAAAGGGGTTTTACCTGGCCTTTCAGGATGTGGGGGCCTGTATCGCCCTGGTCTCAGTGCGTGTGTTCTACAAGAAATGTCCGCTCACTGTTCGCAATCTGGCCCAGTTTCCAGACACCATCACAGGGGCTGATACGTCTTCCCTGGTGGAAGTTCGAGGCTCCTGTGTCAACAACTCAGAAGAGAAGGATGTGCCAAAAATGTACTGTGGGGCAGATGGTGAATGGCTGGTACCCATTGGCAACTGCCTGTGCAATGCTGGGCATGAAGAGAGGAATGGAGAATGCCAAGGTAAGAAGAGCCATATTGTACTTTTCATTAGGGCTTAGTGCACGTAATTAAATCAGAGATGAGACTAAATGGAGTAAAGCCAGTAATTAGCAGCCCCGGTGGGATGTGGTGGGACAGAGGGGGTCTAATGAGTAAGTGCTATAGCTCCAGGTGGCGAGGCTAAGACGTTTCTAATACTGACAAAATAAATGATGCTGTGTAATCAGCAGAAGGCCAAACACATTTGCTAACAGGCACTTAGATCTGAACCGGCTTGATGTGCCCTCTGAAAATGTAAATGAACAAGCTGAAGAAACAGACCTGATTGATCCTTACTTAAAGAGGGCAGACACATTTTCGAACCCTAGTTTTCCCTGTGTGTGGATCTGGTAAAATGGCAAAGACGGTGATATTTACCACCTCTTGTGGTATATTTATGTACACAAATGACTGAAATGTGAAGTAAGGATTCCAGTCTAGCAAATCCCTCCTGCTAAAAGGAGGTACAGTTCTTCAGACCTCATGGACCAGTATAGATGTGGCCCAATGAAACGGCGTGACAAGGTTTCAAGTGCGTTCAGTTCCACTGAGCTCCCGTTGATAGGGTCTGCAAGTGACATTAATCTTGATGGAAGACCTCTTGATTTCCCTGAGGAGGTGATAAACAGCTAGTGAGAGTCTTATTCGATCTGTGTGGTCGGAGGCAATAGTAAATTGTGGTCCATTTTGGTTATTGAGTTTTTGGAGAAATCTAGACTTTTGTATCATGTTAATTACTACTTACCACATCACTATGGTGATTTTTTTCTTTCTTAACCTGCAGTCGAGTGTATGCAATTCTTTTCTTTCCTTATTTCCCCTTTCTGGGAGTTAGTAAAATATTTTTCTTTGTAGCAGCTTTGCTTCCAAGTAAGAGATGAGAGGACTTCGTATTTATATGTCTTGTGTGTGGATTAAGGCTTAAAAAAATCAGTTATCCCAAGGTTGTTATTTTTACTTGCTGTTTATTTTTAGTGCTTATTGATAATCTGCTGCCACCAATCTTACTATGGTTACTACTAAACAGTCTAACTCTGGGCCCGACTATGGAACAGATCCGATTAATCTGTTCTCAGGGTGATTGCCACATGGTTCATCTGATGTGGTGATTAAAGACCCTGAAATAACTGACTGCCAAACAATTTGTCTGGCATTTCAACCATCTTAATGACAGGGTGGGATTTACTATGGGACAATCCACTTCACAGACTGGAAATCAACAGTTATAACCTGAAGAAAGTTGCATTTTTGAAAATTTGATGTCCTAGATTATACATTTTTCCCCTTTTATAGTTTATACTGTTTTAAAGTGTCATTCTTGATTTGCTAGTTATTTCCAGGAGTAGCTAAGAGGAATGCTGTAAATTCATTGCAAATAAAACAATAAAGGCTGGCTACCTTTTCTGGTGACTCAGGGTAAAAAGGTAAACTCATAAATTGGAAGATTTTAAAGTTGGAATTTAAAGTTGTTTTCGGTTGTTTTTTGCAAAGATTCATTTCTTGATCATTGTGCTAGCTCTTGACTTAGCAACTGCTAGAGGAGCTGTACCAAATTGAAACCTCGAAATGTATTCTGGTCTTAGTATTAGAACATATGTGAGTGCGTTGTTATTGGCACCTAAACTGCAATCATCATAGCAGGTATGGTGACGTGAACAGGGAGATGACACTGCATCACATTTTAGAGTGAATTATTCTGCCTTGTCGATTTTTGTAAGAGAGCACTTGCACATCTTCACATGTCAAGATTCTTCTATGTATTTAAAAAAAAGAGAGAGAACACCATTGTCTCCCATTTCCTGCTCTGGCATTAGTATATCTCTGTATCTAATGTCATTGATTTTCAATTGTTACAGAGCCCAGTAACTCATACATTGCTACACTGTGAAACTCCTTGATATTTTTACAACCCAAATTAGAAAAAGAGGAGAAAAAGATGGAGGGGAAGTGAATATAAAGCCAATTGAACATTTTAGTGGTTTTCTTTATGGAAATAATCTTGGGAATTCAGTTAATCATATGGTTCATGGAAGGGTGGGGCTCCACGTTTTGGATTCAGTCTGTTTCTAAGCAAACTATTCCTAATACAAGGCCAGATATTTAATGATGGAAGGGGAGGTTGATGGAGGCCGTGTTTTTTTAGAATCTTCGTCGTTTTCTTTCTGGCTACCCAAGTATTTTCTTTGCTGCTCATAAATGACTAACTCTTTCGAAAAGACATTTTTTTGAACAAAATATTGCCCTTTGTTTATTTATTTTTTATTTATTTTTATTTATTTGACAGATCACAGGTAGAGAGGCAGGCGGGGGCTTGGGGGGGGTAGTCTCCCCACTGAGCAGGGAGCCCGATGTGGGGCTTGATCCCAGGACCCTGGGATCATGACCTGAGGCTTTAACCCACTGAGCCACCCAGGTGCCCCTATTTGTTTGTTCTTAATACTACCAGGTGGGCATTGCTGATGAATTTAGGGGGAAAGGAAAAACTTGGAATGGCAAGATTCTTCAACTCCAAACCTGAGTGAGACTTTCTAAAGATGACTCAAAACTGTGAAAATCTTAGGAGTAATAAAAATGGTCCTCTTCATCCTTGACGTCATTACTGGGAAGCAACCAGGTAGAGCAGAAAGAACACGGAGACAAAGAAATGTATCTCATTGTGGTCACATAAATAACTGTATGACCTTGAACACAATTCTTAAGCCCTTTTCATCTATAAGATGAGTTGAAAATAATTGTACTTAGCTTACAGTTTTGCTGTGAGGACACCGTGATGTAAGATTAGTAAAAGTCACCTTTTAGATCTAAAGCATTAAACCGATGTTCATGCTAGCAATTCTTTATTTACTCTGTTCTTCCCACAGTCATAGCTGTGGACTTTAAGGAAGTTGAGTTGAACGAGTGAAAGAGAAGTTCATCCATCTCCCAGCCCCTCTTGGAAGTCAAGGCTAAAGATAGGAAGGAAGCATTGCCCTTGCCCTAACAAAGAATAATGTCTATTTTCACACTGCATGTTGAAAATGATATTTAGAGAGTGTCATTTTATTTCTCTCCTGTCGGAAAGCGGACTTTCCTTTGAGTGAGAGAAAAGTGATTTGGGGGCGGGACAATAAAAACCAGGGCGCAAAGAGAGCTTAAGAAGGGATATAAAGGGGAACTGGCAAGTCTTCAGAACTGTGGCAGCAGGTTCCTCCCCAATTGTCTTTTCAGTGGGCCTACTGTTGCAGGCCGAATGGGACAGGTGAAAGGTCACCCACTTCCTCATCCATCTTCCTTGGGGTCTGGGAGGTCAGAGTGAAGATGGATTAAGATCTTACATGTTTGACAAAGGATCCTTGGGCAAAAATGGCCAGGGTGGGTGGGGGCCTGGGGCATGCTGTTGTCTGAATTGAACCCCCGTCAGCTGCGGGAGTCCTCAAGGGACTTTGGGGACAGAACGACACTTCCTCTTGGCGTTCTTACCTCCAAGCAGTACATGCTAATGGTGCGGCAAAGGATGGAGTGGTACGTCAGAAGTGTCAAGAGGTGATGGCAGGCTTGCCCTCTGAAGCAGCTGCAAGTTCATTCTGTTCTTGAATAACATTTTCTGAAATGATTTGGCTTTGTCTCCTCCGGCAACGAAGAGTAGTAGTAGCCACTCATCTGTCTTCTCTAGGAGAAGGCGGGGCCGGCTGGTCTCAGCTGCAGTTCGAACTCAGTGACACTGCAGAGGAGGAGTCACTGCTCTGGTTAGTCTTCTGACCAGGTCTCCTCAAACCTGGTCTCCTTTCTTTCCTTAGAAGAAAGCAAAAATATACCTCAGACCCTGGCACTGCCCCCCACCTCCCACATATACCCCCCAGGGAGGAAACGGTCCAGATGTTTTTAGAAGGTTGTTTTCATTACTTCAGGAAGATGAAACAGGCGAAGAGAGGAAAGGTTCTTTATTAACATGTTTTCTGCTTAATTAAAAAGCTGAAAAATGAAAGGAAAGCCACAGATTTACTCTTTGTGAAATATTAATAAGCACTATTTTAGAGCATATATATAAAAATGAGACTAAGAGAAAGAAGGCATTCTTCTGGAGTCACTCTTCAAGCCAAAGAATGACAACGATGACAAAGTTGAGCTCCACAGGAATCAAGCCTTGCTGAAAGACACATTGTTGCTGTAGATTGTTTGGGGTCCTACATGTCCAGGACCTGTATTATATATCATTAATATACGTTGCCTTCGTATCAGCAAAAGGTGTCAGTCAAAGCTCTTATGAGAAGGAACAAGACAGAAAATGCTTTGTTGACCATTAACATGACTATCTCAAATTTGGGCTCTGAAAAGAGGGAGAGAGTTTTATGTTTAAAAAAAAAAAAAAAGAAAGAAAAATTACTTTCTTTTTCCCATTCTACTCTAGAAAGACCTTAGGAGAAAGAAGTATTGGAAAGGAAGCATTTAAAATATAGTTCAGAGAGATGCTGCTTCATATCCTTTCCATCTTTGAAATTTTTCTCCTACCTTTGAATCATGTCTTTAAGTATCAATTGCTTGCATCACATGGCTGCTTTTATCTCCAGCTTTGAAGCCGGCTGTGATCACTGAAAGATGCAATTCTTTATATCCAAGAAGAGCAGGGTTTAATTATTGTGCTTTTTCTGTTATACTTTTTTTTTTTTATGATTCCCCCCTCCGCCTGCACCTTCTTCGTGTGACCAGGGTTCTTTCCTGAGTGTGCATCATGGAGTGGTCTCTGTTTTGGGTGCGCCAAAGCATCACATAGGAATGACATCAGTGAGGGACTTTTGAATATGGTACTTAAGCTTTGACGACTTATTTTACTTAACTGGGCTTCCTCGTACCTTTTAAAAAAGAAGTAAGACATCATGATTCTGTGAAGACCTGAATCTTTGGAAAAAAGACTGAATGAATGGCTTCTCAGTTACTGTTTACTGTGCAAAGCAGAGCTGGTTCTGATAGAAGTTTGACTTTCCTGTCATTGAACTTGACTACTT